GCTAATCCAGGTGAGACACGGTTTTGTATCTTATTATTCCTGCTCGGGGTATATTTCTTGTTAATATCACCTTGATGGTATCTTTACTTGTCTCAAGGAATTCTCATTAGTTGGTCAATAAATGAATCTTACATTTAATGAACAGGTAAGAATTGGAAATCGTTTACACCTTTTCAATTTTCTCTGGAGTAGAGATTATGAACTATTTATGGAACTCCCTCTGTGTTTAGCTGATCTGAAGTGATAAGGCTTCTCATAGTGAGACTTGTAAAGTAGACTCAATAAAACCTTATTTGAAGTTGACCCAATGTCTGTGATTTTAGCGCACATGGTAATTGAAGACAAAAGTGAGTTTATCAGTGGAGTGATCTTGTAGTCTCTAGAGAGATCGATTTTGTTTTATTTGCGTATTCCTATTTTACTTTCATCTTCATCTGCTTATGTCCTTCCTATGTTTAAGAGAACTTTTTGTTTGAAGTAAATGCTTGATTTTCAGGAGTGGAAATATTGCTTATCGGTCATTTCCACCTTATCATCGCCTACCTACGTGCTCGCTTATATCCAAAGATACAAATGGCCAACCTCAAAGTGAGTTTTTCATCAGTTGCGGATCTCTGATTGTAAAAGCACTTGCTATAACTTCTAGTTACTGTCACTGGCCGCAGCAAACAGGGAATGCGTGCAAGATCTGTCGAATATGCATGCTTGCTCCTCACTGTTCGTGTTGATGAGGGAGAGAAAAGAAGGTAAGCGGGGCGATCATATCTTCTCCACTGATTTACGATCCGCTTTTCAGCTCTTTCTCTCGTCCTAAACACGTTGATCGCATTGTCATCAAATGGACAGATCGTGAAGGAGATCTTAGAATTTGGTCAGTGCTCTTACGAGGCGTTATAGATTTATTTTATATATGTGCCCTTGCTAAAAGGTCACAGTCCCTAGAGCACTTGTAAAATTTCCTTCATTTTCAGGTGGTTTGTTATACATCTTATCAGTTTTCTGCTCACCTGATAGTGATCCTGGAGAAAGGCTGCAAGCCGCTGAACTGCTAACTAAACTTCAGGTAGTTTTCTATAATATTACAATATTACGGATTTTTCTCTTTTTTAATTGATTTGTTTTTTTTTTGATTTTCGCCAAGCAATCATCAAATCATTTATTGATAACGATGTGTGATAAAATTATAGGCCGACAAGTTGACAGGCCCGCGGTGGACTCGTTTCATCACAAAATTCCTGCCACCCATATTTGCTGATGCTCTACGCGACTCTCCCAATACTGCGTATGATTCTGATTTTTTTAGAATTCTTTCATTACTT